GGGCTGTGCGCTGGGGTCTCCCTGCTTTGCGGGGGAGTCCCCCCCAGCACACCAGGGAGACCCGGAGCAGCTTTTCTCGCCCCGGAGGACGCGGTGGTGGGACCGCTGCGCTCTGGGCGGTCCCGCCGCCCGCGAGCTCTGGGGCGAGAAAAGCCCCGTTCGTAAGTGCGGATCCGACGTAAGTCGGATCCGCGTAAGTCAGGGACTGCCTGTATTTACCCGATTTCCACCCAGATGACAGCACTTTCAATGAGCAATGACAGTCCAGGAATTTAACTACTAAAACGCATCTCAACAGAAGACCATTATCTTGACTTGCCATTGTGGAGCATGTTCCCAGTGGAGGCTGTGTTCAAAGGATCCCACCTGCAGGCCACGTGTTGAGCCCGGCGTAAATCCAAATCGCACCCTGGGCCACAAACACACAGGCCGAGGGCTGCGTGCTGAGTAGCCCTGCTCTACGTGCTGGGACAGCCAGGAATGATGAGGCTCCGCACACTGGCCTTCCCTGACTGCTGGCTCCCCCGCTGCAGAGGGCTAGAGCCTCTTCCTGGGAACTGCAGTAAGCGCCCCCAGGGTCTGTAACCTGCGCCCACATTCCAAACCCCTCAACCCTGGCCCTACTCTAGAGCCCTTACCCCCACTCCTTGCCACTCTGGAGCACCCTCCTGCACCCCAAACCTCTCATCCCTGGCCCCACCCTCTACTTTCCGCATCCTAAAGCCCCCTCCTGTACTCCAAACCCCTCAGCTCCAGCCCAGAGCCCTCTCCTGTGCCTCAAATGCCTCATCCCTGTCCCCACCCCAGAGCCTGTATCTCTTGCCCCAGCCAGTGAAAGTGAGTGAGGGTGGGGAGGAGCAAGCAATGGAGGGAGGAGGGATGGAGCAAGTGTGGGTCAGGGTCTCGGAGAAGAGGTGGAGCAAGGGCAGGCCGGGGTGTTTGGTTTTGTGTTTTAAGTAAGCAACCCTGTATTGGCTGCATCATGCACACTAGTCCTCGCCCCGGTCACTGCTGACTCATTGGCCCCTGCCAGAGGGCAGGGAGTTCTGGGGGGTGAAGTTTTCATGCTCCCCATTCTGGATGCACCAAACAATGAAACAAGGCTCCAATCCTGCTTCCCTGGGACTCTGTGGGGTTGTGCCATCGTCTTCAGTGGGAGCAGGATTTGGCCCCAGGTCTTTGCCTCTAGGAAAAGTGGAGCTGCTTGTCCTAAACTGGCCCCTTAGCTAACACAAAACACGGGGCCTACTTCCCTCGCTGTCAATTTGTGCTAGATGGCCACCGGCACTGCAGGGAGAGGCCTCCATGTGGAAGAACAGCTCAAGGAAAGGAACAAAAGAGAGCAGGGAAGGGGAGCTAAACCAGGGGACTCCTCTAACTTAGCATGGCAGGGATCTTGGCTTAGCCGGGAGCAGCCCTACCAGATCAGCCGTCCAGTTCTCTCAGCTGAGCAGACTCAATTCTTCAGCAGCTGCCCCAGTCTGGTCTGGAGTTGTGCTGGCGTTCCCAGCGAGGGCAGTTCCTGAAGATCAGCTGGCGTTTTCCCTTTCTGTTGTAGTGAACACAGTAGTGTCCCACCTAGTTGGGGGTAGCAGGCCCAGCTGGAATGTCAGGGCAGATTACGTGGCACGTTTGTAAAGAGCTGCACAACGCCATTGGCTAGAAATGAGTTCTGGGGCCTTGTGCTTGCGTTGCACTATGCCTAGGGCATGGGTTCCCAAACTGGGGGGGGGGGTATGTGAGGCAACCCAGCCCCCCCCCTTCCCCCAAGTTTTGCTGCTATTTGGGGGGTGCGTGCGAGGGTTTTTTCAAAAATCAAAAAGGGTGCATGATGCTGAAAAGTTTGGGAACCACTGGCCTAGGGAGTGGAGGACTCATTTTGCCAGATTTAGGAGTCACTTGTGCACTGTGAGTTCTAGATTTTAGGAGCCATTTGCAAACAGTAGGTTCCAGATTTGGGACAGAGCTTGAAACTTTTGGGGATCATTGGGTTCTGGCCTGCTGGGTGTTTCTTTATTTAATTCCCTGAAGATCTCTGAGGATAGACGAGCTAATCTGTCCTTGAGGACACTGTTTGCACTGGCTCGGGAGGGAAAGCCAATGTTTGTTTCCTTCTGTTTGTCTGGGGAAGCAACCATTCAAGTGATGGCGCAATTTTCTACAAAACCCCAAATTCCCGGGCACACCCAAGAATCATCCTAGAGGTTTCATCATTTTAGGGTCTCCCACTCCAAACTAAGGGTCCTTTAAAGGGTGACAGCCTCAGCTGCGGGGCAGACCTGCTAGGAGTGTGTTACTGAGGGAGCAGTGCCATCAGAGAGGTTTCCAGACAAAAAATGCCCTTTGGAGCCTGAAACTGAGTGCTGCATGGAAGGTTTCCCTTGATTTTTCTTTGATCAGATCGTTGACAGGTTTCTCCCAGGTTAGCAAGGGTGTCTGCTGGGACCCAGGAGGCTCCCTGCATGTGCTGCAAAGTTCCCACTGTTGTAACCCTCCCTTTTTGTTTCTCTGCCCCCAGGCAGCGGCGCTGGCAGACGGAGCGAGAGGAGCGGGAATAGTATGTTGTTTTTTTCAGGGTTTTTTTCCTTCCTTTTCTCTCTTTCTCTCCTGTTTTTTCCCTTTGGAGTTGTGTCTCTTGCTTCCAGACTAATCTAAATGGCTGGGGGCTCTGGGCTGGGATTTAGTGTCTCCTGATCAATGCAGACCCTTCCCCTCGTTTCCGTGCCAGCTATACATCACCACTGCGGGCGGATGGGGCTCGTTGTGGCCCCTCTCAAAGAATGGCGCTGGGACACTCCCCCTGCTTCACCACAAGTTCATGTGTGTGCTGGGACTGAGACCTGTTTCCAAAGGCTGGCTGTGCCTGCACACAACTTACCCCTAGATCTTTTTCTCCACCCTTCCCCTGTGTGTCTATGGATCAAGAGGTAGCAGCGATTGTGGGATTCCTGAATACAGATTGCCTTTCATTACTGCTCTTTTATTGGGGTGGCTGGGGGAAGGGGTTTCTCTCACCCCCTGTTTGGAATTAGGCTTTGATCGTATAAGGCCTAGAGGAACCAGAATTCAGTGACCCCACCCAAACCAAGGGCAGCTATGAATAATGCACTGGTGCACTGTCCTGTTTTCCCAATCGCTCCCTCCAGTTCAGCCAGCAGTGCAGACATGAGCTTCCTAGTAGAGAACCGTTGCCAGCACCTCCTGGGACCTTGGCTTGGCATTACCCACTGTAGACCCCCGCAGGGATGGCCGATATGCGGGATGGGCCAGACTGAATAGTCCCTTGTACAGCCACACGTTTGACTTGTCCCCCTCCCTCCCGGGATGTCCTTTTGCATTTGGGTTTCTTCTTAAAAATGCCCCAGAGCCACAGTCTATGAGCGGCCATATTGGGTCAGACTAAAGATCTATCTAGCCCAGTACCCTGAGCCAGGTGCCCAGGAGGGAGTGAACAGAACAGCGAACCATCAAGTGATTTATCCCGTCGCCCATTCTCAGCACCTACACTTGGAGGTTTAGGCCTAATCGCTGAGTCTTTCTTTTGCTGCTGAAAGTGGCGAGGCTGTCTGTCCTGAGGAGGGAGTAGTCGGCTCTCACTGTCGCTCCGGGCCAAGGTGGGAGGCAGTCTGCAGCGGCAAAGCAAGTTTTGCTCAGCTCCAGGGACAAGCAGGGAAGCAACAGAAACTGACCCCATTCACAAGTTCCCGTTGCTGCTCTGCTCACCGCTGGGGCCAGGTGACAGGTGATGTGGGCAGGGTCGGTGAGGCTTCAGAGGGCAGTCCTGCCATTTCCCCCCACTCTGTACTCTTGGCCCTGTGTGCAGAGCCACAGTCTGAAGCCTTTGGCGTGAGAATGTGTCCGGCCCTCGTTCTGTGAGTCTGTCTCACTTGGGCAGCACCAGTGCCTCGTCCTCCTGTGTGGGTTCCTCGTCCGGCTGGGGAGACTCAGGCTAATGTAGGGCTACAGGTGTGAGGACTACAGCAGGAGGGCTGCCTATAGCAGCGTGAGCCTGTGCACCAGAGGGCAGCTGGTGCTCGTCCCAAATCCTGCAGCTCTTCTTATGTCTGAACCGTGTACTTGGTGAGGCTGTGGGGTGAGCTGCTCCCAGCCTAACTCATCTGCCTTTTGGCTGACAATGTGGGTGTTGGGCCCCATCTTGCCTGGCCCCAGTGCTGGCTGTGGGGAGGCACGGATCAGCCTGTGTGTGCTGCCCGGAGAGATGTGGGCAGGTACTGGTTGCTCTTGGGGTTAGCATGGGGCAGGCAGTGGAGATGGGACAGACCTTTCACACCACCCGCTGCTCTACCAGGGCCTAGTGCAAACACGGCCAGAGAGACTCCGCTCCCAGTTCTTCCTGCCTCATTCTCCCCAGCAGCAGGCACAGGCTTCTCTAGGAGCCTCTCTGCTGTCAGCCTGCGAGTGATCTCCAGGTGAGGGGGGGGGGGTCCCAAACTTGCTGGTTGAACTTCGAAGTCTCACTCCCCTCCAAGTCATGGATCTGAAGGAGGAAACCCTGCACCAGACCCATCCTCCTCCATGCTGGCAGGAAGGATGTTAAATTGTGTTTAATCAGCTAATGGAGTCATCGATGGAATTTCCATTGACAACTTGATAAGGGGGGAAACTGCAGAGCTGTAGTGGGGTTAGCTCCCGGCCCGGGAACTAACCCCACTGTGGCTCTGCCTTTTAAATGTAGTAAAAGCCACCTGGCTCTTACTACATTTAAAAGGCAGAAGCGCAATGGAGGAATGAGCGTGAGCTGGGACAGCTGAGTCCTGGCTCGTGCCTAGTCCCCCGCTGTGCTTCTGCCTCCCCCACCGCTCCCACAGAGATGTGCTGGGGGAACTGGCTTTTAAACTATCTCCCCCCAGCACTGGCTCCTGCTCCCCCCCGCTTGTTGCCTTAGCTCCCCATTGAGCCTAGGTTTATCAGGTAGTCAACTACTCAACTAGTTGCTTACATCCCTAGCTGGCAGCATCCTCCCCCAGTTCTGTGCGGGGACACAAGACCTACGGAGAAGCAATGCCAGCCACAGTGAGTCTGGGTAGGTTCCTGCTGTAACACTGCTCCTTGCTGGCCATGATCGGGCACCCTCCTCTCCCAAAGGGTGTGGTGTGTTTGTCAGTCTGTCCCTGCGCACACCTGTCTGTCTGCTTGGGCTTTGGCCGTCTGGCCCCTGGGAGCCCCTCCTCCCTCAATCAGTGAGTCAACTGGCTGGCATCAGCGGAAGTGAAGGAGAAGACTAGCTGAATGCCATGAGAAGGAAGCCAGTCCCCATCTCAGGCTTGCAGCCCCGCCGGGGTTCCCACCCACGCGGCTGCCTACATCACACCACCGACATCACACCTCCCAAACCTTCCCCCATCATCTGCCTGGCAACACGTTGCCCGCTGGCTCCCCCTGGTGGGTCCTGTGTGCGTTTGTTTCTCTGCGCACAGGATTATCGACTCCTACAGTGAGTCATAGCTGCACAGAAATCAAAGCCTGGAGGACACAGATTGCCGGGGGAGGCCTGCCCGTTCCCTTCTCGACCAGGTCTTGAGGGACCAGGCAGGATCAAGCCCCACAGCAGGTTTTGCTAGAGCTTTGTGTCCAGCCTCACGTCCAACGTCCTCATTGCTGGGGCTGCCCATTCACCAGGGCAGGCCACGGTCGCACTAGTGTCATTTGGAATAATCATTTTGTTAATGTTGCCGCATTACTCCTAGTTATATCCCCCTCACCAGACCCTCTCCTCTTCTTCCCACTCAGTCTCCTTCTCCCCCCTTCCCCCTCCCCCCACATTGCTGAGCCAAGCTGGTCAGATGAAATCCTCCTTTCCTCTAAATTGCTTCTCGCTGCCCTTCTCTGCACACCCTTGGTTTGTCTTTCTGATACCAAGGAGCCCAGAGCAGAGCACAGTCACCCAGCTATGGAGCCAGAGCAAGGAGCTTGCGGCCCCTCTGCTTAGGGACATAAAGCCCATGGAATTGAGGGGCTCAGAGTGAAGTGTGGGATACCTGTGTGCCTCAGGGCAGTGCAGAGGGATATGTCTGCCAAGTTCCGCCGGAGCTGCCCGGCTCTTCTCCAGACTCCCCTCAGGACCCTTGGCAGGCAGTATGAATCCTCCAGATTCCTGCAGCTGGGTCACAGTGTGGCCAAGGTCCTTACCGTGGAGTCACTAATGAGGAGCATTTGCCTCTTGCTCCCTTGCTAGGCCTCTGACTTCCCCTCAGCTGTTCTCCATCTGATCCTCTGCTTTGTCAGGCCTGGTAGGAGGTTTGAATGGCTCCATGATTTGCTCTGTTCCTATTGCTGCCTGGTTTTCCTGCTTCCTGCACCTCATCCTTCCTTTCCCCTTTCAGGGTTTAGACAGATGGGACTCTCCCACTGTTCCTCTTCTGTCTCCCAGTAACTTCGACTGCTTTTTGCCCCACAGCTCCATATTCTTGTGGTCCATCTGTGGGCAGCCATCTTGAGCCTTGCTCATAAAGAGAGGCCTTGTCCATGCCATACATGAGCCAGCCTTGGATGCTTCAGTAGCAAGCTGTCCCAGAATCTGCCACAGGCAGCGGCTAGGGGCTTCAGGTGCAGAGCTGTGGCCCCATTGCCAAACGTACACTGAGTCCCAGACGACGTGTGCTCCTTCAGGCAGGTCTTTGCTTACTGGAGCCTGTTTAGCTGCCTTCAGGCCTCCCATTAGGCCTCTGAGTGCCCTGCTGTTTAAAACTCCCACTTCAGGTAATCACCCTCTTCACCCTTTGCCTCCTCAGGAGATCATAGAATCATTGAGGATGGTTTTCTGGAAGCATCCACTCAGTGTGCAGCTAACAATGTTGGGAACCGTTAGGAAAGGGGTAGATAATAAGACAGAAAATATCATAATGCCGCTCTATAAATCCATGGTACGCCCACAGCTTGAATACTGCATGCAGTTCTGGTCACCCCAGCACAAAAAGATATATTAGAGCTGGAAAAGGTCCCGAGGAGGGCAACAAAAACTATTAAGGGTATGGAACAGCTTCCGTAGGAGGAGAGATTTAAAAGACTTAGAAATGAAATTACTTGGCGAGCGGGAGGGTGGGTGGGGGGAAATGGTAGAGATCTATAAAATCAGAACTGGTGTGGAAAAAGCAAATAAGGAAGTATTATTTATCCCTTCACATAACACAAGAATATGAAATTTAATAGACAGCAGGTTTAAAACAAACCAAAGGAAGTATTTCTTCACACAGCACACAGTCAGCCTGTGGAACTCCTTGCCAGGGGATGTTGTGAAGACCAAAACTGTATTAAAAAATGGGTAAGTTCATGGTGTGTAGGTCCATGAATGGCTATTAGCCAAAATGGCAAGGGACTCAACCCCATGCTTTGGATGTCCCTAAATCTCCAACTGCCAGAAGCATTCTCAGAGACCGGATACTGGCTAGATGGACCATTGGTCTGACCTAATGCTATTATTAATAGAGCTCTGCGTGGATACAAAATTGGTATCTGCATCTGCAAAAATGCGTCATGGCTATCTACATTGATATCTGTGGATGTGGATACCTGTGGATAGAAAGTAGGCATCAGCAGATTTGCAGGACTGTACTTACTAATTCGCACGCACACATACACACACACATACACACAAAGAGCCTTGCCTAGGTTTTCCTAGCCGGTATGGGCCCAGCTAAAGCTATGGAGCCAGCCCACGAGGTAAACCTCATCCCACGAGGCATAACGGGGCGGTCGACAGATGCGTTTGACGTCAACCGCAGAGCGTCCAGACTAGCGCACTGAGCTGACAAACAGCTGATTGTCACAGCGTGGCAGCTATTTTAATTTAAATGAATTGGCAGTTATTTAAATCGCCTCTTCATTTGGGTATGTCTAGTAAACTAATCTACATGGCTCTGTCGCCAGAGCCATGTAGTCTAGATATACCCTTACTAACTATCCCTTTCCTAACAGTTCCTAACACCCTGTAGTCTTCTTGACTGCTGCTGTGTATTGTGTAGTGGTTTTCAGAGAACTATCCACACTGACTCCAAGATCTCTTTCTGGGGAGTAACAGGTAACACAGAACCCATCACTTTGTGTGTATAGTTGGGATTTTTTTCTCAACGTGTGTTACTTTGCACTTATCAACATTGAATTTAATCTGCCCTTCGGAGCAATCCTGGAAATGAAGTATTTTACATTACTTTGCATTAGTCTATTTGCTCTGCTATGTGGTTGGAGTTTTTTAAAGTATTATGTTAATTCATTCTCCCACCAACCTGATCATTCGTCCAGAGGGGCATAGGAATTGGTCCATCTTTTCCAGAATCATACCTATTGAAATAGCTAATGGCTCCTAGTCACAACACTACCCTAGGAGGAGCCGGAGGCCGTGAGCCTTTAAAATAGCCACAGCAACCCTGGATGGCTGCCAGGCAATACAGTGAGGAAAAAATTGGTTGAATACGGTGAGGAAAAAATTGATTGAGCAAAAACAACCAAAAGTTGTTGAGAAAAAAAAAATCAGACGTGGTGGGGGAAGAATGTCCCAAGTGGCTTTCCATCTGAGAAAAACAGAAAATATCGGACATTTTTTCCAGACACATGCTGCAAATACTGGGCTGTCTGATCCAATACCAGACACCTGGCAACCCTAGGCAATATGGTAGCGTCTGAGCAAGGAGCCTTTTGCTGTGTTTTTAATTCAAAGCCTCCAGCCGCAGACGATTCTGGGAGGAGGCTAGTCCCCAACCCCTCCTCTTCCACCCCACATCCTGCCCCTTCCAGGGGAAGGGGAGCTAGTCCGTGACCACATAGCAAAATTCATTAAGTGGACCTGATGCGAAAATTATAGCTCACCCCTGCTCTAGAAGAAGGTCCAAGAACCCCTCAAGTGGATAGTTATAGCATAACCTCTCCTACTTCTGTGTTTCCCAGCTTTAGGGGTTCCAATTTGAATGGTCCCTCTGTGCACAAGCCCCCTGCGCTTCTATCTTAGCTAGTATCTGTCATTTGTATTTATTCCTTTAAATGTCTCATTCTTACTGTCTTTAACCTTGCTTAGCTCCTGGCCTCAGTAATATCATGTGGCAGAGTGTTCCACAGGGTACAGTTCACATTGTGTTGGGTATTTCTTCCCTTAATAAGTTTAAAGTTTGCCTCTTGGTTTCATGGGGCGCACCGGGGCATTGTGTTATAAAAGGGAAATGGGAGCTCCCACCTCAGCTATGTGCAACCATTGGTCATGGTGTGTCTCTTGACTGGCTCCTCTCTTATTCATCACCTTTCTAAACTAAACAGCCTTCATCTCTCCTCCTGTGGTAGCCTGTGCAGGCCCCTCTTCACTGCGCCTACCGTGTACGCTCTCTCTCCTGTGCATGTTCATGGAAACGCCATGTTCCTTGGTGTTGTCTGAGCTGCTGCGGGGGTCTCCAGCCAAACCTGGGAGGGTAGGGTTAGCAGGGAGGGTGGAAGGGCAGGGACGCTGCTCACATGTGCTCCCCTATGGAGGCCTGCAGAGCAGGTGGACTGTGAGGCTGGCCCTGTGCGCTGCAGCAGGCCCCCCTGGACAACTGAACGGTGCTCTCTGAGGAGGGGGTCTTCACTAACTGCTGTCCTCTCTGCTGTCTGAGGCTCTTCTCTCCATCTCACCTGGAGCAAGCTGACCTGAATTAACCTCTGATTTCCTGGCTAACCCCTGCTTCCTAGCTCAGCCTCCCTCCTCTCCTTCATTAACCCTTTGATTGCCCTCCCCCCCCCCTGTAATTTCAGCGTGGCCTCTGCTCTGCACTCCGACAACCATGACCGCTACGAGCGCCTCACCTCCGTCTCCAGTTCTGTGGACTTTGACCAGAGGGACAATGTGAGTAGCAGCAAAAATAATCCCGTGCCTGCCAGCTGAGTAGCTCCTAGCCCATCACACACTAGCCAAGTTTTCCAGCCCCCTCAGAAGCGGGGCAGTGTCATCATTCCAATTTTGCAAAAGGGAAACTGAGGCATGGAAAAGGGGAGCCCAAAGCCATATGGTAAATGGGTGAGGGAACAGAACCCAGGAGTCCTGGCTTCTAGTCCCATTCTCTAACCACTAGACAATATTCCCCCTCATAGAACTGGGAAAGGGCCCCAGCGGTCGAGGCTCCCAGTCACACTTCTCCACCCAGTAATTAGCTGTTCAGTTAGCAAAATGTGGTACCATGCAGAGGTGGCCGGTCACATGGTACTGGCTCCTGCTGTTCACATCCAGCTGCTAAATCCCATTACAAGCTAGGCAGCCCACTGATGATTTCCCCGAGGTTGTGGTGAAATGGGGCGGCAGTGTCCAGGTCAGTCGACCAATAGGAGCATGGTTCCCAGGAGACAGGTCCTCCTGTCATCTGGTAAGATGGCTGCTTTTGACATCCTGGGTCAACAGAGGATGACCAGGCCATTGGTGGTAGTGTTGAGCCTGGCACATGTCATAGTCAAGGGGGCATCTGAGGTGTGACCTCCCAGGGCCGGCTTTAGGAAGTGCGGGGCCCAATTCAAACCAAATTATGGTTGAGAAAAAAAAAAAAACCCCGCACACAAAGAAACAACTCACAGACCCTTTAAATCCCCAGAGTTTCAGCCAAACCCACAGGCCGACTCCCCCTCCCACTGCCGCGCTCCTCCTCCGGAGCCAATGTCCCCTCCCGCAGAGCACCCAGCGCGCCTGGCACACTTCTGGGTTTAGGGCGCGGGGCCCTTTTAGGCGCGGGGCCCGATTCGGGGGAATCGGGCTAAAGCCGGCCCTGTGACCTACCACCGATGGGCCTGTCTGTGGTCCTGTATACCTGGGCATTTGTGACCATGTGTGCCCTCTCAGCGTCCCTTTTGTGGCAGGGGAACAAGTGGGCCTGGGGAGAAAAGGGAAGAGGAGCTTTATGTTGCCTGGGGAGGAGCGACAGGGGTAGACTCCCTTTGCTAGGCCCCAAGGAGACTAGCAGAAAGAACCCTCAGTAACCGGGAGCCCCCCATTGTCTCTCTGCACAGGGCTTCTGCTCCTGGCTGACAGCCATCTTCAGGATAAAGTAAGTGGCCCTTGGGCTTGGTTCTAGAGCTTACCCCTGCCAGGCCCAGCAACTAGCGGGCAGTGGGAGATCTGAGGTGGTGGTTCTAGCTGCTTATCTGGGTGGTTGTAACACCTGGTAGCCCCAGCTGGGATCAAAGCCTCCTTATGCTCGGTGCTGGACAAGCATGTTTTAGGAGCTGGCCCCTGATCATTGAGCTTACAGTCCAGCTAGAAACAGCAGACAAAGGAAGGACTGGTCCCCCCACCCCCACTGTATGGATGAGGCATTGGGACACGGAGACTAAGGGCTCGTGCGTGCAGGTGTGGGTTGCACAGCTGCGTGGGCCCTGCCGGAGTGAGTGCTTACAACAGCCGTGTGGCTACGCTAGCACGGGCCAGCTGCCCAAGGGCAAGCGGCTAGCCCCTTGCGGCCACACTGCTGCGTGCAGCACGCTCACTGGAGTGGCGCTAGCTCGCATCAGTGTCTCCTGGCGGCTCTATAGGTGGGCCTACGTGACTTGTCCAGGGCCACCCAGTGAGCCTGCGGCACAGCAGGGAATTCAGCCCAGCTCTCGCCATCCCATTCCAGTGCCTAGTCACGAGCCCTCTCCCCGCCACCTGCTTCCTTGCTGTATGGCCCCTGCTGAAAGGGTCAGTGAAGATCAGGAGAACCTGCCAGGGCCTTTGCAAGAGGACACCTTTGAGCACTTTCCATCCTTCGCTCTGCCAGTCCTGGGGTCAGCGCCATCAGCCCCCTTGCACGAGTGGTTACGGAGACAATGGATTGCATGGGCACCCAGTGAGCCTCCCTTCCCCATGCTGCAGGGCTGGGAGCACCAGGCTTCAGCAGCAGCAGATGGATGTTGGCTGGTGGATTTCCATGTGGGCTGGTGCAAGGCGCTGAGGTCCCTCGCAGGCCGCTCGTGGGCTTTCTGCAGCTCCTCTGAGGGAAGGGGCATTTCGCTCCGGTGTTAGGGGCTGGTGCTCCGGGCGCTTGCCGTGCCCACATGACACATGTAGACGCCCCGGCAGTGGGGACCAAAGGGCTACTGGGATCTGGCCCAGGCCTGTATTAGGTGACGCCTCACCACCTTTGTGTCCTTGCCAGGGACGATGAGATCCGGGATAAGTGCGGGGCCGACGCAGTCCATTATCTCTCCTTCCAGCGGCACATCATAGGGCTGCTGGTGGCCGTGGGCGTGCTCTCGGTGGGCATCGTGCTGCCCGTGAACTTCTCAGGGGATCTGCTAGGTGAGTGGGGAGTGGGTTCTCGCTGGCTCTCTTGCGTTCCTGCCTGCGGAAGGGACTCAGCCGGCCCTGCTCACAGCAGCTCAGCACCAGCCCTTGCAGGGGGCCAGTTAGGCTGTGGGCTTTCCAGGTGAAGGCTTCATGCAGTGGCAGGCAGAAGGGGTGCTGTTGTGGGAGGGAGTGGGTGTCTTTTCTCTAGTGGAGACTGGGGTTCTAGCATGCTTAGGGGATGTCCCCACTCCCTCCCCCTAGCCCCACTGTGGCCTAAACTGGAGCTCACAGACTTAACCCCGTGACCCGTTAGTGTTCCATGGGGTCTGGGGGGTGACTGGTTTCAGAGGCATCACCGAGGTGACTCCATGCCCTGCGCCGCCCCAAACCACCACCCTCTGGACTGATGGAAAGGTGTGTGTCTGTCACTCTCTCCCCAGAGAACAACGCTTACAGCTTCGGGCGAACGACAATTGCTAACCTGAATTCTGGGTACGTCGAGGAGGGGTGGAGTGGGGCCCTTGGAGTCTCTCAGGTGGAGCCATGGGCGGGGGGTGCTATCCCAGGAAGGCCCAGGTGGCTCTTTTGCTGCCTCCTCTGTCCCCTACTGCTGCGTCCCAGCTCATTCACCCTGCAGAGCCAGCTCCCAGAAGCTGTCTCCAGAACAGAAACCTGGGCGCAGCCTCTGGGGGGGCCACAATTGAGCCCTGTACTAGGGATATAATAGTCGATTAACCAATAAGCAAAAGCTTTGGGTTAATGCTGTAGACTACATGCATTTCCCTCCCCCCCACCCTTGCCAGTACATTTTTTGGCAGACTGGTCAGCAGCCTGGCTCAGTTCTGGCTCTCGCCGGGTCCAGAACCTACCCCTGCTGCAGCTCTGCATTTAAAGTATGTTAGGAGCCAGGTGGACAGGCAGCCTGGCTCAGTCCCAGTTCGCGCTGGGTCCAGGAGCTCAGACCCCCTTAGAGAGGGGCTGCTGCCACCCCACGCTGCTGCCTCTTTCTCAGAGTCAGCAGCACTGGGCAGCTGACGCACAAGGGGAGTTGTTTTTTAAACTGGCTCCCATCGTGGACCAGCTCCCGCCTACACTGCTGCCTCTGATACCCTGTCCTCTGCCCCTGGGGACCACAGAATAGTCGAGTAACCGAGAAGAATTCATGAGGTTACTCATCTAGTCAATTAACCAATATTTAACATCCCTACCCTGCACTGGGCAGCAGCCTCGCTGCATGGGCGCATCCTGCCAACCATTGGACTGTCCCCAGGTGCAGTGCCTGTGGCTGGGGGCGTGGCCCTCAGGGAGAGGGGACTCCCGCTTTGGCTGAGTGGCCCGGCGCGAGGTGGGAGAGGGTTCACTGCACAGGCAGGGTGGCCTCAGCTAAATGGCATCCCTCTGGTGACAGGAATAACCTGCTGTGGCTGCACACGTCCTTTGCCTTCCTGTACTTGCTGCTGACGGTATACAGCATGCGCCGGCACACCTCCAAGATGCGCTACAAGGAGGATGACCTGGTAAGGATGGCCTGGTCTCCCACCAGGGCACTCTGCTCTTCCAGGCCCCCTTTCTCTGAGTCACGCCCCAGGCAGAATTCTTGCCCACACCTCACCCCTGACACAAGTGAGACAGGCTCTGCGACCCCAGGACCCTCACTGGGTGAATTGAGCTGCAGCAGCGAGCGTGCAGTCTCCTGCCCTGTCCCACTAGGCCCTGCCCCTGCTAGATATGTTCTGGGTCTCCCCCCGCTGCACTAAGCCACTTCGCCGCCTGTGGTTAATGCTCCTGCCCTGTCTCTGCACAGGCAGCCGCGGTGTAACAGCCTCACCAGGACAGAATCTGGGCTGGAGCAAATGTTGGCTGTGTCGGGTTACTGACATGCCAGCCAGTGCGGGATAGGAGACTGCCTGGTAACTGTGGGCGCAGCCTGGCCTGGCTTCACTCCATGACCACGGCCAGCTGTCCTGTGCTGCCCACGCTGGGGTTCCCATGCTGCCCTCCTCTCCCCGGCCCCTTTGTCTCTTGCAGGTGAAGCGAACGCTCTTCATTAATGGCATCTCCAAATATGCCGAGTCGGAAAAAATCAAGAAGCATTTTGAGTGAGTCTGCACATGCTGGGTCCCTGCGTGAGCTGCTTTTCTCCTTGGTGGGAAACTTTTTGGCAAACAAATGAAAACTGCCAATATTTCATTAAAAAAATATTGTCACTGTAGTTGTTCGTGGGGACTGTAGTTCTGGTGCCTCGAGCCTGCCGTCTGTTCTATGGACTGGACTGCGTCCCCCAGGGGATCCACTGTTGTAGCACAAGGCTGCCCCAGTCCACTAGGAGGGACGTAGTCCAGCAGGGGAACCTGGTTGATAGAGAAGAATGGGGGCATCAGGCACCAAAACTGAAACTCCCATGAGGCACCGGGGTGGCATTGCCGAACTGAGTGGTTCTGGTGCTCAGGTGTGGCCGCTGTAGAAGGCAGCCCTAGTCCCAGCCTGTGGAGGAGAGGGAATGCCAAACCTTTCTGCACCCTCTGGAGATCCCTGGGCACAACCAAACCCAGGAATGTGGGGGGATGATGGATTCTGGGGCAGTGGCCAAGCTACACCCAGACCCTCTCCAGCAGTACAGAGGATTCCCCCCCACCTCTTTTTGGGAGCCCCCTAATGAGACCCTGGCTCTCCTTGGGTAAAGGACTGGAGAGCCCAAGGGCTCTGCTGCCCAAGCAGGCCCTCTCCTCCTCAGCCACCCTCAGAAGGGCAGCATGCATGGACACTCACTCTCCCACCCTCGCCCTCCAGGCACAGCGTTAGCCGAATTCCCTGATGGCCTGAGAACCGAGTGTGGGGTGCGCAGGGACCCCCCTGGCACTGGTGCTTTTCACCTCATCACTAATGAGCCTGGGGGTGTTTGCTGTCCACAGAGAGGCTTATTCCAACTGCACTGTGCTGGAGGCCCGCCCCTGCTACAACGTGGCCAGGCTGATGTTCCTTGATGCAGAGAGGTAAAGCTGGGGGCTCCCAACAGGTCTAGGCTAGGAATGTTGCACAGGGGGGTAAGGGATGCAGCTGGGGTGAGGGGCTGGGACTCAGCAACCGGAAGGTTACAGGTCACCAAAAGAATGCATGTGATGGTCTTGGGGTAGACTTATCTAGGCCATGTTTGCACCACTGAACAGCAATGGAATGGAGGACTGGGTATGGGAAGCTCAGGGCTGGGATAGCGGGGGGCTTCAGGGAGGGGCACTGGCAGAGCTGTGTGTGGGGAAGCCCAGGGCTGGGATAGCAGGGGGCTGCAGGGCAGGGGGAGGGGCACTGGCAGAGCTGTGTGTGGGGAAGCCCAGGGCTGGGATAGCAGGGGGCTGCAGGGCAGGGGGAGGGGCACTGGCAGAGCTGTGTGTGGGGAGCCCAGGGCTTTGAGGAGACATTAGCAACTGTGTGGGTGCAGGGCAGAGTGGGGTAGGGCAGAGTTGAATTACCTGGGATGCTCTGGGGTCACCCATCCACACATATGATCCCCACCAGTGCAATGTCTGAACCCCCCAGATGATAATGGATTTTACTCTCCCGCTTGAGGCCGGGAAGGACCTGCACAGAGGGCCGTCACTTGCTATGGTCACACCAGTGCAGCCTCTGCTTCAACCAACTGGGAAGCTTATTTTCCAAAAATCCATATGGGAGATTCACATAGGCGGAAAGAGCTCCCCTCTCTGCACCCGTGTCTGTGCCCCACGGTGCTTCTACCACCCCTGTGTTCTCCCGCACTCTCCCTGTGGTCACTGCTGAGCCTGTCTGAGCCTCTGCTTCCCCTCCCGCCTTGTCCCTTGCAGGAAAAAAGCGGAACGTGGGAAACTCTATTTCACCAACCTGAAGACCAAGGAGAACACCCCGACGATGATCAACCCCAAACCCTGCGGCCACCTCTGCTGCTGCGTCATCAAGGGCTGTGAGAAGGTGCGGGAGTGGGGAGGAGGGGCTGAAGGGCCCTAGGCAGCAGCATGGGTGAATCCTGGGAGATGGCCCCTGCTGCTAGCTCCCGCCAGCCACCACGTGGACAAGGGGTTGTTGGCCCAAATCCTGGCACACCAGCTTGCTGCTGTCCCCTTGTCTGCCCTTTGCATCTCAGGGCCTAGTCAAGGAGAGGAAACGTGTTTTCCCCACCGTGGCCCCATGCCACTGCCCACCCTGCTGGCCCCCTCTAAACCTCCACCACCACGTCCCCACTCATTGCCTTGTTAGCTCGGATGCGTCCCACCCTAATGCCAGGTGGAGCTGATGCATCACGAAGCTGGTCCAGATTTCCCGGTGGAGCCGCCTGCCACAGGCTGTGGGGCAGGCGAAGGAGCTGTATCCCCAGGCCCTCAGGGCCATGAGGGGGTGGATGGCTCTCGGCTCAGCCCTGCGTCCGTGTGTCCAGGTGGAGGCCATTGAGTATTACACCAAGCTGGAGGAGAAGCTCAAGGATGACTACAAGCGGGAGAAGGAGAAGGTGAACGAGAAGCCTCTGGGGATGGCCTTCGTCACGTTCCACAATGAGACCATTACAGCCATGTAAGCACACGGGGCTGGGGAGGGAGAGTCCCTGTCATTCCCAGGCAGGTGTCTGAGCAACTAGAAAACTTCTTCAGGTCCCCTAGGTCAGCGGAGGCTCAGTGCTCAGGCACCCCCTCCTGATTCCCTGGGGCTCAGCCGCCCTGATCTCGCCCTCTGAGGCCGCCTCACTCTCTCTGCCTCTCCCTCCAGAATCCTCAAAGACTTCAACGTGTGCAAGTGCCAGGGCTGTGCGTGCCGCGGGGAGCCCAAGGCCTCCTCCTGCAGCGAGTCCCTCCACATCTCCAACTGGACCGTCACCTACCCCCCTGACCCACAGAACATTTACTGGTGAGCAGGCCACCCCTCCTGCCAAGCAGCTCTGGGGAGCCGCAGGGGCAGGCTGGGAAAGGGAAAGTATCATGGACCTAGCCCAGCAGTGCCTGGGACAGCTGGGGGGCTCAGGAGACGGAGTAGTCCCACTGACAGGTCCACACAGCTGGCCAGAGGGGTGTGGCTGATTCTGGGCCAACGGCCCAACCCCGTGTGAGGAGCAATGGATGCGGGAGCCTCTCGCAGGGGTACACGCACATGAAGATTTAACGTCCTGGGTTCTGTTCACCCTGCCTCATAGCCCTACCCAGCACAGACTCAGTGGCTGGGGCACTGCGGAGTAGTCCCACTGACAGGTCCACACAGCTGGCCAGAGGGGTGTGGCTGATTCTGGGCCAACGGCCCAACCCCGTGTGAGGAGCAATGGATGCGGGAGCCTCTCGCAGGGGTACACGCACATGAAGATTTAACGTCCTGGGTTCTGTTCACCCTGCCTCATAGCCCTACCCAGCACAGACTCAGTGGCTGGGGCACTGGGCATCCGGGGTTTCATCTGGTGGATCCGCTGCCTGGTTATCAACGTCGTCCTCTTCATCCTCCTCTTCTTCCTCACCACCCCTGCCATCATCATCACCACCATGGATAAGTTCAACGTCACCAAGCCCGTGGAGTATCTGAATGTAAGGCCGGGGGGACGAGCACGGGAATGAGGGACGCTCCAGTCCCATCCCATCCTGTGGCACAGCATGGAATGCCCCTGGTTGGTGGGGGTGGGGAAGGTCATGAATGGGCACTAGGTCCCTCCACCTCACGTGTCCATATGGGCTTGGCCCTGTGGGTTCAAGTGCTCCTGCTGGGGAGTCCTTGTCTACGTGACTGCTGCGTGGGCACTGAGAGGGCAGAAAGGTGCCAGACTCCCCGTCGCACAGAGCCTGGTGGAGTAGAACAGGGAGCACGTGTTGTTGGAGCCAGAGCCTCTGAGGGGCTGCAAACTGCGTTCTCAGGGAAGACGTGAGTGCCCAGCATTCCACCTGGGTCTCTACAAGAGGCCTTGAGAATATCTCTCTCGTCAGAACCTGGGCCAGTGGGCAATCCCCACTCTCCCCAGGGACCGCCGGGGCACACCAGCCCACAGCCAGCCACGCGTGGCAAGCGGGAGGAAATCCTGGTTCTCCTACCATAATGGAGAGCACGAAAACGCTGTGCTGGCACGCCAAGAGGCCAAGTGGGAAAGCCAAATGTTATGAGAGCAAAGGGGAATTGCAGGGGACACACTGACTGCATTAGGCCACCCCAGCCCGACAATCGGAGTAGCTGCACCCTGGCTAATCCCTACATGGAGATAAATGATCCCCAGGCCTGACCTGAGCTGGTGCATCATTCCCTGCACTATACAACTCCCAGACTCTCCTCTCTCACCAGGGGATAAGGCAGAGGTGCTGCAGGCTTCCATCCAGGATTCCCAAGTAGAGGAAAGCGCCCCTGTTGTTACAGCCCCCAGAGGGGCAGAGTCACACTCAGCTCTGCCTTGGCACAGCTCTGCCATTGCCCATGCACTA